AGATTGTTGAATGAAAAAGTCAAATTATAGTAGACCCTTGATATTTGCCAGCAAATGATTCAGGAAAGCCCATCAATGCTCAGGATGCAGTTCAGTGCTGTAAAGTTACTCACTTCCCTACACCACATACAGCCTAAGCATCAGTAACTTGAAACCACATGGAGCGGGCTACATTAATACTGCTCACCAAAAGCTGGACCTTATTTTATGCTCTTTATCTCGAATACTGTGATGCCCGATTCATTTTTCTTACATCACCACCCAACTTTCACTAAAGACATGCTGCCTCTGAAAGAATGTAAAATTTTCATTTATCATTTAAATGAAGCACATTATGCTTCTTCTGGGGCACAATTTGCTTTTTGGGAGGAATATTTTCACAAAATGAAGAGCAGGGAAACACTCAACAGATCACATAATGATTTAAACACAACCGACAATAACAGACTGGTTGAGAGCTTCTCTGCATCCACTGAGCTGCAGAATGTGTGTGGGACATTTTGATTTTTCTAAAATTAATTTTTTTGTGCTACACTTAGTCAAAACTGTGGATAAGGTGGGCTTACTACACATATGTTTACACACAGTATGATACTACAAAAAGTAAACAATGTATGACTTAGGGACATTTATGAAAACAAAAAAAAGCAAACAAATGAAAGATTCAAGACAGCAGCTACCTGTGGGGAGGAAGGTAGGCCAGGAGTTGGAATTGAGAAGGAACACAGCAGTAGGGTCAATATTAACAGAACTGGATTAGTTTTTAATTAGCTAGTGGGTATGTAGGTACTTGTATTTTATTATAATTCATAACTTCCATGTTGCACAAATTTTTATGTAAGCATCAAATATTACATATAGAATGATCTGAAATACTTTCATACTGTTAAAGAGACTATGAAAATGTATGTATATTACTTACTAGATGTATGCATATTACCTTGTGAATGTAGGTATTAAGAATTGAGGTTTTTAGTCACAAAGAGTATTGGCAAACCACTGATTAGTTGTGGATCTTGAAAAATCTAAATATCTTTGAACCTACTTTTTTAAGCTAAATGAAGAATTTTCTTTATTTTTATTTCAGGTACTGGGTATTTAACCCAGAGCCTCACATAGGCTAGGCAAGCACTCTACCACTTAAACTATGCCCCAGGTCCTTCTGTTTGTGTCTTCAACACAGGATTGTGCTACCTTTTGCCTGGGCTGGCCTCAAACTCTCGATTCCCCTGCCTCTACCTTCTGAGTAGCTGAGATTACAGGTGTGCAACATCACACCTTGCAAAATGCAGAATTACCGTAAGGACTAAATATATTACTATAAGTTAACTGCTATTTAAGTAATGATAGTTAATATCCCTCAAGACTATTAACGAAATTTCAAAAATTTGTGAGGGTTGGGGATGTAGCTCAGTGGTAGCTACATCAGGAGGTCCTGGGTTGCTCTCCAATACCACAAAAAGAGGGGCGGGGGAACCAACTGTGGTTGAGGATGTAGCTTACTATATACCCTTAGTGCAGGGTTAAAGCTAGTGCTTAGTATGTACGAGGTGTTGAGTTTCATCCGCAGTACAGGCACATACAAACACACACAAACCCAAAACCTCCTTATGTTCTGATTTATTTATTTACTTGTGGTATTCACTTGGCAGCACTGGAGAATGAACTCAGGGCCTTGTGCTTGATAGGCAAGTGCTCTACCACTTGAGTCATGTCCTCAGTCCAAACTCCTTATATTCTAAAGAGTTGTCTTCATGTAGATACAGTTTAGCATCATCCACAATGGAAGTGACCTGTTGATTACATGAAGGCACTGATTTCTTTCCTCACATCTTCTCAAAAGACTTTGAGAACTAAACAATTCCTGGTCAAGAAACAAAAGTAAACAAGGATCTAGGTTCAATCCCCAGCAGAAAAAAAGAAAGAAATTTAGAAAAAAAGAAAGAAAAAGCAAAATTGTACTATGCTCCAATGGTGGATGAAATCTGGTAATACAATCAGATACAATTCCAGTGAGAGAATTGTGCCTTATTGTTGGAAGAGCACCAAGCTATGTCTGTGAGGAGCTGAATGAGTTGACACACATGCTGGATCAAGATCATTATCACATTACCATATCAAGCTGAAAATGTCACCACTGTGTGGACACTGAACATGTTTCACTAGGAATGATTTTTTTTGTTTCTATGCTCTGCAGTAGTAGGATGGTTCAGCAATATGTGAAACCCAAAAGAAACCCCAAAATTTTGCATTTAAATAAGTTTACTCTCACAGAGTATTTATACATTCTTTCACTTATGGTACTATTGCTTAGAAAGATTTTAAAAATCTTTCATTGGAACTGTTTACTTTTGAAAACATTTTGCCAGTGGAGGAAAAAATTTTAATTCTTTGAGTACATATTTTACCATGGAAATAGCTATGAAATATTTTAAGCTGTGACTGATGAAGGTCCATAATCCAGTAATGATTTTAGTTAAAATTAATATATGGCTATGATGAGACTAACTCTTTTGAGTGACTTACAAATGGCTATTTTGCTCAAAGATAAGTTTCAGAAAAGTTTTTAGCACTCATAACAGTGCTTCGAAAAAAAAAAAAAAGAAAAGAAAACTACAACTGTGTAAGGTTACTACTTAGGACAACATTCATCTTAATGCAAGTGTGTATCAATGGCTTTAAGAAAACAGTACAGAGAAATTTTGACACCACTTCTAATTTCACATGAAGTAGAAAAAGATACATAGCCAATGACATCCTAGCAATGATTTCTTTTTTAAGTCTGATATAAGAACCTGCAGAAATATTCTTTTTTTCCCTTGGATATACTGGGGTTTGAATTCAGGAAGTATGGTAGGCAAGTTCTCTACCACTTGAACCATGTCTCCAAACCATTTTTGCTGTAGTTATTTTTCAGATAGGGTCTTGAACTTCTGCCTGACACTGGTCTTGGACTTCAATTCTCCTTACCTATGCCTCCCTCATAGCTGGAATTACAAAAGTGCCTCAACACATCCGTCTTGTTCTTTGAGATAGGGACTTACTAACTTTTTTGTATGGGACTATCTCTACCTCCCAAGTAGCTGGATTACAGGTGTGAGTCCAGTAATACTCTTAACTGAAAAAACATGAATTAGATCCTAAATGCATTTTCACTTTATCAGTAAGTCAGAGAAAAAAACAGCAAAAAATTTTCAATTTTACCATTTATAAAAGTAGTTATGCAACTTCAACAATCTCTTATCTAGGGATTTAACAATATTACAAGTTCAAAGTTTTTAGGAAATTAAAAGAATAACTAATAGTCCTTCAAGGGAATACAAATTTGTTCAAACATTTACAAAATAATCAATTGGTTACATAAGAATAGAGTGAAATTAGTCAAAACCAATGTCAAATAATTTGTTTTAAAAGTGGCAGTGCAATACAGTAAACAGTGGCCTTACTGACTAAATGGGAGAATCACCTAAAAGTATTTTTTGAAGATAATATATGAAGCAGTGGTATGTCTGGAGTCCCAGCTTTAGAGGGAAGCTGAGGATCTCTTGAGCCTAAGAATACAAGGCCAGCCTGGGCAACAGAATCAGAACTGTATCTCAGGAGGAAAAAAAAAGAATACATAAATTTTCACTTTTTTTTCCCATCTATAATGTCAGTATTTTATCACTATTTTACACCACTTTTTGGTAGGTACCATTAGCATCTGAGGTTGAAGTGAGGCCTCACAATAAAGAAGTTGTCTTTAAATATTTCATCTCCTCATTACTATGAGTATACTCATCTTTCAATGGCATCATTCTTCAATCTGATCCTCATTTCACATCTGAATATGTTTTGGTCCAATAAAGAGCCTGCATATTGATTCTGCTACTTATTTTTTCCTGCTGTTGTCAAGTCCTTCAAGACTATAATCTGACTGCTGATACATATGGGACAGACAGCTGTATGTTCCCTTTATTTCACTTTACTTCTTTTACAGTATTTCATATTTAAACCAGGCAGCAAGGGTATTAACTTAATATGTTAGATGACCACTGTATCATAACAATTGTAACTGGAATACACCAAGCTATACACATAACAGAGGCAGAAATATGTTAAGGGAAAAAAAAAATCATAGGAAACAAGATCTTCACCCCTGAAAATAAAATATAACATGCATACCAGTATCAAGCAGTATAATACAAGAACTCCATCAGATATGAGAAACAGACAGTTAAAGCCAGACTTTGAGACTGAATCTCCATATCCAGCCAGTTGTAGCCAGTCCAGAAAATGTTACACAGTTAATGTTTTGGGGGCTACAGTTACACTAGAGGACCCTGGTTCAGATCCAGCAATGGCTTATGAACTTGCCCACAAGCTGATAGTAGAAAAACAGCTTAATTTGGAAACCTTTAAATATGCTGCATGAAAGATGTTTATCTGCTAGCTTTAGCTCTCTTGTTTTTTATCCCTTAGGTTTGGTATGTCCAATAGGCATTACCTTTTGGGATGGGGCATTCTGTCCCATACTGACAAGTCCAGGATCTAATTTAATGAGCCAGTGAACTTCAGGGCTAAATGGATGGGGAAAGTATCTTTCACTGCCACTTTCCTTGTGAATGAGATAACCTATCAGCAGTAAACTACAATAAATTCTAATATATAACTAAAGGAAAATTTAGGAAGGCCTAGAAGGAAGGCTTAAATATAAAGTAGAATGTTTTAATGTTCTTAATAAATATTCATAAAAATACATACATATAATGAATAGTCTATTTTATAATGCTAGTTAAAACAATGAAAAGCTATTATATCAGTAGGTTTATTAATATCCCAGCTTCAAATTAACTTGTAGAAGTATTTTCAATGAAATTTCAATAAACATACTGGAAGGTATTAAATATAATGAGTAAAACTGTAATTTCAATCCCTTCTCTATTTTTACCAACAACCTGTTCTATTGGTTACTGATAGATTTAAACTAATCAATAAACTACTGTCTATAAAGGGTTTTTGTAAAAATGCATTCATTTTCTGATAATAAATAAATCCAGATCCATACAATTAGAAAAACCAGGATGGGGGCAAATAATAAAAAAGGAAAACAATAGGTCCTGGGTTCAAAATCAAACAATTAAGTCAAAGAAGAAAAAGTGTTTTCAGAGTCCCCTCATTAGGGAGCCATATAATCTCCACCATTCCTTAAGGTCTCTCAACTGGTCATTAGAATATTATTACATCTAAAGCCTTCATGAGATTTTCTCTGGCTCACTTTTTGCATGAGATACAAAAACAAAAAACCTGTAGACTTGTTCAGATGGAATTAGTATAGCTGAGTCTTTTGGTGTGCTAGCAGTTGTAACTGAAATTAAGGGCAGATTTTTCTCCTATAAGCATTCACAAATCCAACCAAGTAGCACTCAGAAAGACAAAACCATTTTTTTCTACTTCTGCAAATATCTAAGTAATTGAAAATCAACACCTAGAATCAAAGCAATGCATAAACTCATCAGCACCACATAGAATGATCTTCAAAAGGAGCAGGTCTCTTATGCCTTTATATTGATGAACAGGTTCTAATCTCCCCTCTAGGAAAAAATCCACTTTCTTAAGCAAAAGAAAATGTAAAACTCAACAAATCACATTTTTAGTCATCCAAATAAACAGAGATTTCAAAGTTTGAGCACTACTTTAAAATAATTTTCAGAGTAGGTGTGGTTTTCAAGTTACTGTCTTTCCCTACTCATTTATTTGCTAAGGCAAAAGTGCCAAACTTACCTTTATGACTAAGAACTCTTCAGCTACCATTCCACAAGTTTTATTTACTCACAATATAGCAGTCAACATTTAAATAGGACTCTAGTTATAGTTACAATTCAAAAAAGGTCATATCAAAATGTTTGTTGTCTTTCTTGCCTATCAGATATGACTAAATTATTTGTGGCTGGAACTCAAATCACATACAGTCAACCACATTACTGGATCCATGACCTACGTCTCGAATTTGGCTAGTTAAACAAGCACACACAGCTACACCTGCTCCAGCTCTGCAGTGAGACACAGATCCAACAAGCTCCCATCTGAAAAAAAGCATAGGAGAAAAAAACGTTATCTTAAAACAAAGCATAATTTACTTAAAATATCAATCAATGACAGAAACTCCTAATTATGAGACTGGTTTTAAAAGAAAAGCTTCCAAAGGGAGATAAAAATATTCCAAAGTTTTATATTAACAACTACAAACATTATCTAAGATTTCATTTTTCATAGTTTCATTTACCTGCAGTATACCATAGTCCAAAAATATTAAATAGAAAATTATAGAAACAAACAATTCATAGGTATTAAATTGTACACTATGCTAAGCAGTATGATGAAGTATTACATTCTTCCATTCTGTCCTTCCCTGGGACATGAATCAGACCTCTGTCCAGTATATCCATTCCATACTACTCACCCATTAGTCATTTACTTAGTAGCCATCTCAGTTATCATACTGACTGGTGGTATACCAGGGCTTTTGTTCAAATAACCTTTATTTTACTTAATAATAATCCCAAAGCAGAAGCCTAGTGATAATGGCAATTTTATTACAGTATACTGTTATTATTGTTCTATTTTATTATTATTATTAATCTCTTACTGTGCCTAATTTATAAATTAAATTGTATCATAAATATGTATATACAGGAACAAACACAGTATCTATATGGTTTGTTATTATATGTAGTTTCAGGTATCTGCTGGTGGGCAGCAAGGTGTACTGGGACAGATCCCAAGGGTAATGGAGGATTACTCTGTTCCTGGAAGATACCATTAAGGCATAGAGAAAACGCGCTGCTTACCTGTTCAGCACGGGATCAAATGCTTCCACCGTATTTAAGTATGCATTGCCATTATGACCACCAACTGCAAAGATTTTGCCCATCACTGTTGCGATCCCTACTCCACCCCTGGGAGTGGTGAGTGACGCCACATAATCCCACTTGTTGCTTCGAGGGTCATACCGCTCAACTGAACTCAGAGGAGAATTATCATCAAAACCACCTATATAAAGAAATATTTTAAAAATAGAATTATATGTTATGGGAAACAGATGACTAAATCTCAATTCAATAGCTTCTACCACCTGAACTTTTAAACCTATTTTAGAATGGTTTAGAGAAAATTAGGAAGAAAAATTCATCTAACGCTATCTATCACCACCACCAAGTACTATTAGACATTTGTACAATCCCGCTTAATTTAATTGGTATTTAACCTCCATGCTAGGATTAAAGGGGGGGAGGCGGCTGGCAGAGTAGCTCAAGCAGTGGTGCACCTGCCTAGCAAGCGTGAAACCCTGAGTTCAAACCCCAGTATGGCCAAAAACCCCCAAAACTTAGAGTGGAAAAAAGTGGAGTCCCTATAGCTAAGCAGGTCATTTAGAAAAAAGAAGAAAAAGCAATCATTCACAATTTGTCTTTGGCTTCTCAGGAGTAAGTTAAGGCTGAGATTGCATCTCTGTGTGCTGTACTTTTAATAGTAAGAAGACTTGAGAAGGGAATACACCACACTAAATCAAACGGCTCATCCAGATATAAGTTCAGGTTTCCAATTGTTTCCTTTAATACTATTATTGCTAGCATGATAACAGATAGTGGACAACAACTGAATTCTCACCAATCTTTGCCAAATTCACACTTTTCCTTCCACAGTCTAGGTGGTGACAGTCTTTTTCTGTAGATCATTCTAACAGTTTATTTAATATATTCCTGAGGGATATATACAGAGTTACTTTAACAATGCTGTCTTTTTTATACTCTTCTAAGTCTAAATGAATAACAGGTCTCTTTGGGGATTCAGCCTATTTTCCTGAAAATAGGAAATATTCATACTATGATGTTTCTTTAAAAACAAGGTCAATAAAAAAAAATCAAGTGAAACTTCTCTAATGGGCTTAATTTTATTAAGTCAACTGAAATAAAATTCATCAATTTTATGTGCATAATCTGATCGATTTTGACAAATCACAGATCATTGTATTACAACTATGATAATAGAGAGTTCAAACTAAACATGAAAGAATAAAAAACCATTAATGTCAACCTTAAGGATTTAAAAGTACATCTCAGGACTAATTGTGCAAAAGATTAAATGATATTCATTATTTGTTAAGTTGTTTAATGACATTTGTCACCATCCACTTACCAACAACATACAAACAACCATGAAGCTCGCTAACTCCATTGCCTGCTCTTCGTTGGCCCATTTCTTTAACTTCTATCCACTTATCCAGATGTGGATCATACCTCTCCACACTAGATAAAGAAGCCACTCCATCATTGCCACCTACTGCATAAACATGGCTCTAAATGGAGAAAAATAAGCAAAATAAATGACATTAGATTTTGAGTTGATTTAGATATGGTCCTAATAGTAGGCCAGAATATGAAAGAAGGCAACATTTCATGAAATAATATGATATATATATGTAATATTTCAGACCTTCCCTTATTTGACTATAGATGTGATGCAATGCCATCCAAAGGGCAGATTGCTGTATAACTTACCACTAGAGCCACAGAGCCAACTCCTCCCCGGGGAGTATTCATTGGTGCCACTGTACTCCACTGATTGGATTCTATGTCATATCTCTCCACGTCATTGAAGCAAGTATTGTCATCCAACCCTCCAATTGCATAAATTGGGCCTCCTAAGGAGGCCAAGGCAATTCCTCGCCTGCAAAAACAACAAAAAATACTTTAGCACCTGAGTTTGTTTCCAGGAAAAAAGTAGCAAAGAAAATGATTAAGTCAAGTCATTTATCACGGTAATCTTCAGAGTATGGTTTGTCTCCATTATTTTTAGATTTATCAAAGCCTCTGAACAGATGGCTAAAGCGTTACCAAACTATGCAACGTTAGGTGAAGAATCCCTTTAAAGCAGCCTACACAGGCAACTTAAAACTCAGCTCAAGTTTTTCTTTCTTGTTTTTTTGGGTGGAGGGTGTGGGGAGCTGGTGTTGGTGACTGAACTCAGGGCCTTGTACATGCTCATTACTAACTCAACCACTGAACTATACCTCCAGCCCTAAACTTGGATCAAATAATAAAGCAGAACAACAGAATACGACAAAGAGGTCCAAAATACTCAATTAGCAAACATGCAGTTACATAACTGAGAGATTAACAGGTTGACAGAGAATAGTTCGCTCTGTAGGTCAAAAGCCAATCTCATTTCTGAATTCATGTAATTGCATAGCTCATTTTGTTGTCACCATACAAAAGAATAATCATTTTACAAGCAGTGGCTAATTCCTACTCTATTGCTTTATTTTTCTTTGAAAGGAAGAGACTTAGCCCCAATTAAAAGCTAATTGATTACCATCATGATCAGAAAATAATTATCTCAGTTTCTTGAAGAACATATTATAACAATCAAAAATTAAACCCTTCTAAAACTATTATCTGTCACTAATTTGGATGCCAAGTAATGTACCATATAAATCCCAACTACCTTGTTTCTTCATCTGAGGCAAAGCTGTTATTGAATTAAAATAGGTAAAGTACTTACAACAATGCCTGGCCCCTATTTGGTGCTATGTATTTTTACAGGTTGAATATCCCTTGTTTGAAATGTTCTGAGACCAGAAGTTTATCAGATTTTGGATTTTAGAATATCTGCATTAGAGCATACTCAATTTCAAATTTTCAGAACAGCAATGCCCAATCGGTACTGGAGCATGTGGGTATTCTAGAGATTCTAACTCTATGTTTACTAGAGATTGTCCTAAGAAAGAATTAGGAGTAACATTAACATTCATTTTCAGTCTCCTTAATCTCTTTCCTCTGGGGAATAAAGCTATGACATAGAAAATGTGGTGGTTATAAAAACTTTCAGTTCTGCATGAACATGTGCGTGGGCTCTCTAGGACATGAATGTGTTAGATCAGAGGAGAAGTAAAGAAAGTATGCCTAATAATTCTCCCTCCTCCACAAGCCAAAGGACCAGGTGACATTTCCTACTTGGCAAAACTCTCTTCTCTTGATTTTCCTGACATCACACATTTCCGTTCTTCTATATCTCTGGCTGGTGCTTCTCACTTTCCTTTATCAGTAATTTCTTTACCATTAACTTACAGAGTTCTTAAAGGCTCTGTCCTAAGGCCTCACAGCACTCCATAATCCCTCTCCATAAGCACTGCACTCCTTCCTGAATTTATTTCTCAAATACACATATATTCACTTTCTACCTCCGATCTGGCTTACTGGCTCTTAACTTTAATCTGAAATGAAACCCACTATCCATGTCCATGTGGGAGACAGAATTTTAAGATGCCTCCATGACTGTCATTCCCTGGTGTTACCTCCAAGATAATGCTACATTATATGGCAAAAAAAAAGACTACCTGGGTGGGGATAGTCTAATCACAACCTCTTTAAAGCAGAGAGGTTCCTCCAACATGGAGTCAGCAAGCTGGTTTCAGCATGCTGGTTTTTGTCTGAAGATGACGGGGAACACCTAAAAAGGACCTGAGAGTGTGTTCCCAGCCAACTGCCAATAAAATTGAGAAACTCAGTCCTATAACTGCAGGAACTGAATTCTATCAATAACCTGAATAACCTTGGCAGTGACTTCTTCCCCAAAGCCTCCAGGTCATCTCCTAGCTCAGCCAATACCTCAATTCTTGTCTGGGAAGACCCTAAGTAGAAAACCTAAGCAAGCCTGCAGGACTTCTGAATTCTGAGCTAATAAATGTGTGTTGTTTTAAGATTCCACCTTTGTGGTAATTTGTTGTACAGCAATAGAAAATTAATATGCCCTCACCATAAGACAAAACTTTTATGCTATTCATCTGGTTTTCCTAATTCAGAAAAACAGCACCACTTTCAATTCATTGTTGAAGCCAGAAACTAAAGCAGTCATCTTTACTTCTACCTTCTTGTTCTTCCCACCACCCATATCTGATTATAAAGTCTTATTGATTGTGCATGTCTAAACTACCTCTCTAATATGTCCCTTTATTCTGCATCTCAATTTCTACCATTTTGCTCCAAACCACCATTATTTCTAGAGCAAACTATTTCAGCTCCTCCTATTTTTGGCAGTACTGGGGTTTGAACTCAAGTCCTCAAGCTTGTTAGGCAAGCACTCTACCACTTGAGTACTCCACCAACCCTGTTTTGTGTTGGGTATTTTCAATTTGGGTCTTGTGAACTGTTTGCCCAGGGCTGGTTTGAACCACGATCCTCCTGATCTGCCTCCCGAGTAGCTAGGATTACAGGCGTGAGCCACTGGCGCCTGGCTAAAAGTCCTTTTTGGTCTGCCACACTGTTTTTACTTCACTTTTTCTTAAATTCCTCCTCCATTTTGTAGGCAGAGAACCTCTAAAGCAGAAATCTAATCTTGTCATTCCCCTTCAATACATATGAAGAAAAACAAACATGCATACATGTATCTACCCCCCCACCAATTCCAGCAGACAAAAATATTCTTGGCAAACCTGGGGTGTTTTTTTTGGGGGGGGTTGGCAGTACTGGATTTTTTTTTAATTTTTATTTTATTATTCATATGTGCATACAAGGCTTGGTTCATTTCTCCCCCTGCCCCCACCCCCTCCCTTACCACCCACTCCGCCCCCTCCCTCTCCCCCCCCAATACCCAGCAGAAACTATTTTGCCCTTATTTCTAATTTTGTTGTAGAGAGAGTATAAGCAATAATAGGAAGGAACAAGGGTTTTTGCTGGTTGAGATAAGGATAGCTATACAGGGCATTGACTCACATTGATTTCCTGTGCATGGGTGTTGCCTTCTAGGTTAATTCTTTTTGATCTAACCTTTTCTCTACCTGTCCCCTTTTCCTATTGGCCTCAGTTGCTTTAAGGTATCTGCTTTAGTTTCTCTGCGTTAAGGGCAACAAATGCTAGCTAGTTTTTTAGGTGTCTTACCTATCCTCACCCCTCCCTTGTGTGCTCTCGCTTTTATCATGTGCTCATAGTCCAATCCCCTTGTTGTGTTTGCCCTTGATCTAATGTCCACATATGAGGGAGAACATACGATTTTTGGTCTTTTGGGCCAGGCTAACCTCACTCAGAATGATGTTCTCCAATTCCATCCATTTACCAGCAATGATAACATTTCGTTCTTCTTCATGGCTGCATAAAATTCCATTGTGTATAGATACCACATTTTCTTAATCCATTCGTCAGTGCTGGGGCATCTTGGCTGTTTCCATAACTTGGCTATTGTGAATAGTGCCGCAATAAACATGGGTGTGCAGGTGCCTCTGGAGTAACCTGTGTCACAGTCTTTTGGGTATATCCCCAAGAGTGGTATTGCTGGATCAAATGGTAGATCGATGTCCAGCTTTTTAAGTAGCCTCCAAATTTTTTTCCAGAGTGGTTGTACTAGTCTACATTCCCACCAACAGTGTAAGAGGGTTCCTTTTTCCCCGCATCCTCGCCAACACCTGTTGTTGGTGGTGTTGCTGATGATGGCTATTCTAACAGGGGTGAGGTGGAATCTTAGTGTGGTTTTAATTTGCATTTCCTTTATTGCTAGAGATGGTGAGCATTTTTTCATGTGTTTTCTGGCCATTTGAATTTCTTCTTTTGAGAAAGTTCTGTTTAGTTCACTTGCCCATTTCTTTATTGGTTCATTAGTTTTGGGAGAATTTAGTTTTTTAAGTTCCCTGTATATTCTGGTTATCAGTCCTTTGTCTGATGTATAGTTGGCAAATATTTTCTCCCACTCTGTGGGTGTTCTCTTCAGTTTAGAGACCATTTCTTTTGATGAACAGAAGCTTTTTAGTTTTATGAGGTCCCATTTATCTATGCTATCTCTTAGTTGCTGTGCTGCTGGGGTTTCATTGAGAAAGTTCTTACCTATACCTACTAACTCCAGAGTATTTCCTACTCTTTCCTGTATCAACTTAGAGTTTGGGTCTGATATTAAGATCCTTGATCCATTTTGAGTTATATTGGTATAGGGTGATATACATGGATCTAGTTTCAGTTTTTTGCAGACTGCTAACCAGTTTTCCCAGCAGTTTTTGTTGAAGAGGCTGCTATTTCTCCATCGTATATTTTTAGCTCCTTTGTCAAAGATAAGTTGGTTATAGTTGTGTGGCTTCATATCTGGGTCCTCTATTCTGTTCCACTGGTCTTCATGTCTGTTTTTGTGCCAGTACCATGCTGTTTTTATTGTTATTGCTTTGTAATATAGTTTGAAGTCAGGTATTGTGATACCTCCTGCATTGTTCTTTTGACTGAGTATTGCCTTGGCTATTCGTGGCCTCTTGTGTTTCCATATAAATTTAACAGTAGATTTTTCAATCTCTTTAATGAATGTCATTGGAATTTTGATGGGAATTGCATTAAACATGTAGATTACTTTTGGGAGTATCGACATTTTTACTATGTTGATTCTACCAATCCATGAGCATGGGAGATCTCTCCACTTTCTGTAGTCTTCCTCAATCTCTTTCTTCAAAAGTGTATAGTTTTCCTTGTAGAGGTCTTTCACATCTTTTGTTAGGTTTACACCTAGGTATTTGATTTTTTTTGAGGCTATTGTAAATGGAATTGTTTTCATACATTCTTTTTCCGTTTGCTCATTGTTAGTGTATAGAAATGCTAATGATTTTTCTATGTTGATTTTATATCCTGCTACCTTGCTATAGCTATTGATGATGTCTAGAAGCTTCTGAGTAGAGTTTTTTGGGTCTTTAAGGTATAGGATCATGTTGTCTGCAAATAGGGATATTTTGACAGTTTCTTTACCTATTTGTATTCCTTTTATTCCTTCTTCTTGCCTAAAGTACTGGAGTTTTTAATAAGGGCTTCCCACATGCTAGGTTGGTGCTCTACCACTTAAGCTACAACCCCAGCCCTTTTTGCTTTAGTTCATTTTTCTGGTAAAGCATTGCTTTTTTTTTTGCCCAAGGCCGGCATCAGACCATGATTTTCCTACCTATGCCTCCCCATGTAATGGGGATATGCACCACTATACCTGGCTTATTTGTTTTGAGAAAGGGGTCTTACTAACTTTCTGCCCAGGCTGGCTTCAACCACAATACTCCCAATCTACACCTCCCAGGTAGTTGGAATTATAGGTATAAGCCACTGTACCCCGAACTCTTTATTGCCTTTTTGGACAGGGTCTCATTATGTAGCCCAGGCTGACTTTGAACTTTAAGCATCAGCTTCCTGAGTAATAAGATTACAGGTATGTATCCTATACCAGACTACCTCCCCTTTTTTAAAGGCTCATCATCTCTCTCCCCAATCACCACCATTAACCTCACCTACAATCACTTAATCAGGTTAAATTTTCAGATCTGAAGTTAAACAAAGCTTGGTTAAGATCTTCTCCACTTCTCTAGCACCCTTTACTTACCCTGTGCTAAATAACATTATTGCCCTTAAGTATGTCTTTATTAGTCCACTAATCAGGTTTACAGAAGCAGGGACATTGTAGTCATATCTTCACCACTTGCTACGTCTTGCATGGGAATTTAGCTTTTATTGTTGGGCAAGCAAATCAACACACACATGCTTTGTTGGGATGATGGGCTGCAATAAAAACTGCTTCAACAAACAGCAGTATACACTTAAGTGGAAAGGTGAAAGAGGAAGCCAGGTATGTTACATGTGAAAATTATGTTGAAATACATGCCAAAAAGATGATTTGGGGGAATATAAATTATAAGCAAATGATGTGACCAACTGCAGCTCTATTATTTTTATATAGTTGGATGCCTATTGTAAATGCTCAAGATTTCACAAGATTAAAGAAATTCAACTGTTACTTTGATAGAAAAGTTTCACTCAATTCTCTGCTAAAAACTGAATCACAGAGCATGAAAAGAGTCAAGGAAATAAGAGTAAAAACATACTTTGGGTTTTCCTCCCTCATTTTACTCCATACATTCAAATTCAAACTATTTGTAGTTACCACTTAGTATGAAGCAAGCCCTATTAAAGTAGTAGGTTGTGAAAGATAATACCCTTTTTTTAGTACTAGGTTTTTCCCCTAAGATTCTTTCTCATGAGAAAAAAAGGGGAGCAAAAATATCTCTTCAGCACAGCTCTCTTCTGATTTCTATCTAATCCTTCATATTTTAATATGTGAAGAAAACTCAGTTAAAAACACATTGTTAAATTAAGCTGGAATAGGAAATTAGATGGCAATGCACTCCCAATGTACTCCCATGTACAGTTAGCTTTAAAACAACTTTTTTTTTTTTGCAGTGCTAGGGGGATCAAATCCAAGGCCTGTCACTAATGATGTGATGACTGCAGTCCCAGCTATGCAGGAGGCAGAGATGGGAGGACCACTGTTGAAGGCCAACCTATGGAAGAACTTGAGATCCTACCTGAAAAACAAAAAGGACTGAGGGTCGGCTCGTGTGGTAGAGCTCTTGCGTAGCAAGCATGAGGCCCTGAGTTCAATCCCTAGTACTGCCAGAAAAATTATTGACCAAGCTAGAGTACTGACTTACGTAACTAAAAATCTCCCCTTTAGAGAGATCTATTTACCAACATATACTCTGTTATAGATGAGAATTTAAAATATGAATGCTCACATAAAATCAGTAAAGAAAACAGAACATGAGGGTTATTTTCTTAACATGATAAAAAAATAAAACATGTGCTTTCAATCTAAAGTTGCTCTCATATTTAATAGGGAGACATACAGACATTTCCACCAAGAGCAGGAAAAGACAAAATACCAATCAGACAAGAAAAATCCATTACAAGCCTAAGAATATATGACAGAAGGTGACTATGGTCTATAGGTTAATTAATGGTATTGTATCAATGCTAATTTCAATCACTGTGCTATGGCTGTATGTAAGATGTTAACATAGAGGAAGTTGGGTGAAAGCTATAGAGCAAGGTATACTCTCTTACCATGGCACCACAGCATTTGGGGTCAGACAGTTCTTTGCTGTAGGGGCTGTCCTATGCATTGTAAGCTCTCCAGACACTCAATCCCCCCACAAAGGGGGACAAAATCATCTTTACCTAAGAAACACTGGTACACAGAAACTCTACAATTTCTGCAACTTTTCTGAAAAGCCATCTAAAACTGTTTCAAACAGAGACTTACAAAAATGCTCAAATACAAGTGAAAACTGTAACTAACCCAACAGTATGCTAAAATGTGATTCCATGCTTAAAAACACAAAATGTTATACAAAGCATCTTTTTAGATGCCTTAACAAAATGTGCTTGAGAAGGCAGTTTCTAAAAATAGAAAAAACTTAAAAGCAAGACCTTTCAATATTAAGACCATCAATTCAAAAGACATTTCCATGCTGATCTACCTCTTTGTGTTCATTGATGCCCTCATCATCCATTTGTTAGTGAGAGGATCAAACATCTCCATGCTACCTAAGTGTTCATTTCCATCATGGCCACCTACTGCATACACTTTACCTGTCAAATAAAGAAGTATTTCATGTGATTCCAAATAAATGAACTACTAACACTATAATCTATTTATAAATATTAGAATGTCATAACAAATTAATTTGCAATACTGCAACATCGAAATTATCAATGTCACTTCAGTAGTCAAGTAAAGGCCAATGTAAGCTTTCACTAAACATGCTGTTCTGTATGAAAGTATTTAAATGCTTTCAAACACCACTCTCCTGGGTTTCCTAACTTTTTATTACATAGTAGATGAAATCACCAATCATGCTTTCAAAAAAATTATACAACACAGTATGATCAAACTTTTTCTAAATGAAACAAAAAAATACACAGAGAGAATAGGATAACAGCTAAACAAATAATGGTAATAATAATAATAAGATTATAGTTAAGCAAATGTTAACTGTGCTTATTTTTAGGTGCTTAGGTTGCAGATGACTTTAAATTTTTATTAAAAATATTTTTATATTTTCCTAAAAAAGCATTTGGTATACTTATATAATCAGGAAAGTGGATTTTAAAAGTTTTCTAATAATCTATCCATGTTTCTGAAATTTACTCATTTTTGGTAATGAGTTAGAAATCTCATTTCAGTAATAATAATAATTTGGTATAGAAAAAAGATCCATACTTGTAATTTGAGTTCAATAAACATCTTTCCTTACTTTGATTTTTTTCAAATATAAACTTAAAAGAGTTATTTTATTTATTTATTTCATTTATTTATTTCTTTATTTTTGCAGGGCTGGGGATCAAACTGAGGGCCTTGGGCATGCTAGGTAAGTGCTCTACTACTGAGTTATAGCCCCAGTTCTTGGTGTTTTGAGACAGGGTCTCTGTGTATACCATGCTGGCTTGAACTCCACAGTTTCTCCTGTCTCTGCCTCCTGGGTGCTGGGATAACAGGCTTGCACCACCAGGTCTGACAAAATTTTAACTCATCATTGCTACTTTAACTTTTCCTTGCTACTTATCTCCATATTTATATACTTATATGAAACAGGTTATACAATTAGCATCTGTGAGCACAAAGTAAGTAAATAATCACAACCTAAATATTTTTATTGATATATTAATTTTTTTTACAATTCTGCAATTTTCTTAGATGAACAAAGAAACCTCACAGTTCAAGTATTTAAAAGAGCACTGTGATCATGTGGTATGATTTTAGGCACTAGCAGACCCACCTTCCACAGAGATTACGCCCACATGTCGCCTTCGACTATTCATCTCTGGTCCAAAGAACCAACTGTTTCTGTTGATAGAATAGCATTCGATACTGCGAAAGGGGTCACCAGATCCACCTCGACCACCTACACAAAACAGCACACCTAAAGGTAAAGCCACAAGATAGAGATCAAAATCACAGCTTCTGAAGCTTTTTAAAAAATTAGTATGGAAGAATATTTAGAAGTCAAAATTTTTAGTAATGGTAAAAAAAAAGCATTATTTGAGTAACATTCAATGTGATGTCACTAGAAATCTATTTACTTTTTCTCCCTTATTTGTGTTTTTCAAAGAATATGATACATCAGCCATCTCTTCTAACATCTCAGTCCATGTTTTATATCCTCACTTCCAGAGCAAAATTGCTCTTGCTAAGGACATTCAATCAACTTCTAAATTAACTTATTTCTAATTTTAACACAAATGCAACATCTGCTATGTTGATCTACTTGCATTTTGTTTTGGAAATTCCTTATTCTCTTGATAGCTATCATATCAAAGTTTCCTGTGTCTCCAAACATTGTTTTACCTTCTGCCTTCCATGTTCCATCCTCAGCTTATTTCTCACATACTTTATGCTTTCACAGGAAAAGTTCATCCTTTTCTTTTAAATTCTGTCTGTACCACAGTATTTTCCAACCCACATTTTTAAGTCACATTGCCACTTGATGTCCCACAGGCACCCAGTATGTGCAAAAGGATCTCCCCTCCTCCTCGCCTACCTAAACACCCTCTTCCTTCCCTGCAGTGTCCTAACCCGTCCTTTCTATTGCCTCTGCTGCTGTCTTAGTTCAGGCCCTCATCAGCTATTACTCAATTACAGTACTGCAAGATCTCTCTTTTCTTATCACTTAGATTATCAACAGAATAATCTAATGAAACGGTTCTTTCAATAGCTTTCTACTAGAAAACTTTAGTGAGGGCTAGTGGAGTGGCTCAAGTGGTAAGAGTGCCTGCCTAGCAAGCATGAGACCCTGAATTCAAACCCCAGTGCTGCCAAAATCCCCCCAAAATCATAAGAAGAATTTGTATTTCTAACATGTTCCCAAGTAAATGGTGACGTTCCATCAAAAAAAAGCATTCAGTGCCTTGAAGGTAAAACCTTAGATCTGGGGATGTGGCTCAGTGGCACAGTGCTTGCCTAGCATTCATGAAGCTGTGGGTTTGATCCCCAGCATCATACATACACACAACACACACACACACACACACACACACACACACACACACAAAGGAAAGCCTTAGCACAGCATGAAGTCCCTCTGGGGTCTACCTAATCTCCTGCAACATACATACAGCGCTCACAGTGCTCATTCTTGGTATTCCTCCAGCACTTTTGGTAACTATCATTCACTTAACACACTATTGAAATGATCTATTACGTGACAATTGTCACCAGAGTCTAAACAAGGTTAAGACTATTCATTACGCAGTTATGCACTAAGAGGGACTAGCACAGTGCCTAGAATGTATGAGGCATTCAAGGAAAGTGAAATGGACTGAACCTCTTTTCCCCTAAGGAGCATCCAGAAGAACAACTATTTACTATTCAAAACCAAGGCTGCAGTTCTCTAAACCTTTCCTAACCATTTCAAGGCAAAAATAACTTTCAAGGCAAAGTATTTTTGTACTTTGTGGTATCAATGCACGCATAATACTTTATTGTATTTATTTTTTCAAATGTTTATTTCCCTGGAGCAGACTGCAAATTCTCCGCAAACAGGGCTGTCTATGTCTCTCTATAGACATTTCTAATACCTATTCCAGATCCTGCCACATGGTAAGCTCCTAATGTTTGCTGAATGATTGCATAATGAATGAATTTAACTGCTTGTGCTCTTTTCCAACTAATTCAATACTTTAAGTCAGAGAAATTTAAAGTTGGAAAAGACCTTAAAGGTCATGTAGTCAAGCTGGGCATGGTGGTAGATACTTGTAATCCCAACTACTCAGGATCATGAGTTCAAAGTTAGCGAGGCCTTATCTCAAATACAAAATTAGAAATGGGCACACTGGGGACATAGCTCAAGTGGTAAAAGCATTTGCCTAGCATACTCAAGGCCCTGGGTTCAACCACCAGTACATATGTGTACACACACACACACACACACACACACACACAAATGTAGTCAAACTGTTCATCAATAAATGAATGGAAAGTATAAATATCAGGATGCAAATCCTTTCTCTGCTATTTTTCTGCGTGGTCTTGGCATACTTTTTAATTTTTGGCCTTCTCATCATAAAACGGGACTCGCATAATGAGGGTTGAAAGCTTTGTTAAAATCTACTACACAAAGTTCATATAATCATGTGAGACCACACGGATGCTGAGATGTTGAACTCAAATCTGGATTTGAAGAGTTCTTGCCTAACACACACAAGTCCTGGGTTTGAAATCCAGCATGAAACAAACAAACAAAAAAGATGGATTTGAATAATTTCATCAAATACCTTGAATTTATGATACATGATTCACAATTAAAAATAAAACTTTAAGGGCTCATAGAGTGCTTGCCTGGCAAGTGTGAAGCTCTGAGTTCAAACCCCAGTATTAACAAAAAAGAAAAAAAAAACCTCTATACCCCACCAAATTGTTTAGATTAACATATAAAAAGGAGAATTGGTAATAGCTCTTTTCATGTTAACCTAACACACAGGCAGGTGTATGACTTTCAGACTTTATATTACCTACATATAATTCTACTCTATTCACAAAAAACTACTGCCTTTTGTTGTTAGCTATTCCACAGAGCTCATTATTTGATAATTGTATACTAGTTAGCAGTAATCATACAAGAAGTCTCCATTCAGAGTTCCTCTTTCAGAATTGGACATTCTGTCATCTCTCAAATATGTTATTACACTTTTGTATATGTGTGTGTGTGTGTTGCTTGAGTTTGAACTCAGGGCTTCACACTTGCTAAGCAGGCGCTAATTTGTTTGTTATAAATATAAAAACTATAAATAAAAAGACTAAAAACTGTGGAAAATCAAGGTAAAGCTCATGCGTCCTGAAACATAAACACTTCAGATTTTAATAGTTTAATATGGTTCATTATAGACATGTTTGCTATGTTTCCTGCCTTTCTTTTGATTTGGTAAGATGCAAACCAAATATCTAAATGTATAGTATGTGTCAAGCCCCATGCTTGGCACTGGGGAAACAAACCTAACTCAGGACATGTCAAATAAATAGATTACACTGCAACATAGAAAAAGTTCAGAGGACTCTAATGGCCCTAACAGAGAAGCTAATTCTGCCTAGAAGAATCAGAGGACACCTCAAAGGAAGAGACTGGTTTCCTAGAGCCAAGAATGGTGGTACATACCTGTAATCCCACTTGGGAGGCTGAGGCAGGTAGATCGTGACTTTGAGGGCAGCCTGGGCTGTATAATGAGACCCTGCCTCAAAACAACAACAACAAAAAAGAAACCCCACCCTGTTGGTAAAATTAAATTGTGTACAGTGAGAATTATGAATATATATAAACTTATTTGTAAATCATTACCTTAAAGCAATCAGATACTAATTATCTTACAGTTAAGTTTGAGCACACATAAACAACCCTCAATAAATGAAAGATCCTCCCAGGGGAGTTGATAAAATGAGTAATTTAATTACCAGCAGTGTGCTTCCTTGGAGTTGTCCGAACGGAGTACTCAAAGTCAGGTACTCTGCTACTCAAATGAAGGTGGTAATTTCTTGCTTCATCCAATAAATCTCTACATTTTAGATTTTGCTTGACAATCTGTTCTTTTGCCACAACACCCATAAGAAAATCAACTGGCAATAATGGCAGACGAACCTAAGATCATGGATAGTTGTGATATCAAATTTAAATAATAATAGTTTGTTCACCATTTTCACTGCAGAATGTTCTCTTTTCCAAACTTATCTAGGGGCTGAAGGTGTAGCTCAATTGGTAGGCACTTGTCTAGCATGTGTAAAGTCCTGGGTTCAATCTCCAAAACCACAAAAACAAAACCTAGCCAGGAGTGGGGGGGTGCATCCCTATAATCCTAGTCACCTGGGAGACAGGCAGGAGGATCATGAGTTCAAGGCTAGCATGATAAAGTTAGCAAGATACTATCTCAAAAACAAAATGCAAAACAAAATGTCTAGAGGCGTGGTTCAAGGGAAAGGAGCACTTTGCCTAGTATGCCCGAGGCCTGAGGTTCAATCTCCAGTACCACAATTGTAATTGTAATTGCACTTTGAAGAGGCTTACTTCCTCTGCCTGTAAACATTTAAAATGAGAGCACCCGTAATTACAAGCAATTTTGTTAATAACAGCTATTAAAATTTTTGATATTAAGAATTTTTTATTAAAAATTTACATAATTGGGGGTAAGAGGGTGAAGGATGGAAGGGGTGAATCTAATAAAAATATACTGTAAACATGTATGTAAATGTCACAATGTATCCTCCATGTACAATAATTATATGCTAATAAAAAACTGGACCTATTGAAATTATGCTAAGACTAGGGAGAAGGGGGATCAAGGACTATGATGGAGGGAGTGAATTTAACTAAGCTTTATTGTAAGCACTTTTGTATGTGTACCAATGTACCCCCAGTACAACAATAATATAATAGAAATGTTTTAATTAGAAATAAAAATTTTAAAATTGGCATAATTATCTGTGCTTTTTATCAATCCCAAAGTTTTAAGAAAACATTTATTTAAAAAACAAGTAAGACTATTTCTCTTGTGAGTAGCATCACTTTACATCTCAGTAATAAATGGAAGGAGGGAGGGAAAATAAGAGACGGGGGTGGGGTGGGGTAGGGGATAGAAAGAGTAAGAAAAAAAAAGGAGATCAAGAAAATAAAGGAAAAGACAGACATAGACCCTAAAGGGCCCATTTATTACCTCCTTATCCAAGTCATCCCAGTCTATAATTTTTAAAATATTCAGAGTAATAACAAAAATGACACATTTTTGAGGTTGAAAAAAATCAAACTATGGTGAGGGAAGAAAATGGAAAGTGATGTCTTATAGTTATTTGTAGAATAAATCTACGTGCATTAGGAATAACTACTTCCAGTAGCAAAATAATTCACTAAAATTTAGAAATTCAATGTAAAACAACAGAAATATATTATATTACTTTAGAGCTGTTTCCTTAAAACCATTTCCTAATACCATAAATATAATATTCATTACTACTCTTTCAACGAAAATTTTAAATATTCAGGTTAAAAATCATTCACATGTGACAAATTCAGACTTATCCTTAAAACAGTATAGAAAGTGAATGGAAAGTAAGAATTAAAGCTATTTTGTGATTCTGTTACATTAGTGGCTTCTGTACTCCTTCAAATAAGTTATATTTCTGTAAAAATGAAGTGTTGGTTTGCTTCCATATCATTTCAGCCACAAACAATCTTACTTTACTCCTACCTGTGCAAGTGTTTCATCCAACCATTTGGAGTGATGCTGAGGATTGGCAAGAAGCCACTTGATAGCAGCACTGTAGACCTGCTTTTCATTCTCAATATTTAAATCACTGGAGGACAAAAGCTTATGGAGGTGCTGGGGTGACACACTTACAAAGTCTTCACACTCCACTACTTCAGTAAAATGTTCACAGGCATACTGATCTGCCATGTCCATTAAGTCTATTCGATTATGACTTTCTGCAAAGGCTCTCACTGCCAGGCAGTTGGAGGGATGAAAATGTAACTTCATGTATTCACAACAAGCTCTGGCTACCAGTTCAACCTGCAGAATACAGGCTGCATATAAGAGAGGCTGGACGTTGTCAACAGTCAAAGTAAGCCGTGAAGAATAGACAAACTTCACCAAGTCTTCTATTGCATCACCATCAAAATCTCTAATCTCAATCAGTGTTTGCTTGGCTTCAGCCATTTCAGAGAGAAACATGGCTCTGAAGTAGGGAATAACACAAGCCAAAACCAATTTGTGACAAGAGATTAGCTTTGATCCAACCTGTTCAAAACAAATCAAAACAGACAGTTTCCTATCAAAATCTGCTTCAGATCAACACCAAGTATGTGTTGTAACAAAGACAAAAACTCTAGACAATTCATAGTAGTACTAGGATTTTCTGTCATCTCATCTGTGAGGATCATTTTGTGAATTAATGAGAATAACAGCAAACATCTCTTGATACTTACACACTGGGAACTTTTAAGCGCTTTTCACATACTAACTCACTTTTCATTATCCAATAACCCCTACGAGCAGGTACTATTACTATCCATGATTTGTGCTTCAGAAAACTAAAGCACAGAGCAAAGACATCAATATTTATTAGTATTTATTATGAGTGCAACTGAGGTTTTTATAATTTTCTATTTAAATTATTTTGAGATAATATATTTCACATAAAAGTAGTAAAATTAAAACATTAAAATCATACCACCTTAATTGTTGAAAAATTAGATTGCGTCCAACAGTGTGCCATTATAAACAACACAGTAGCAAGCTTACTGATAAGTGAATCTTTATTCACATTCTCTATTTCCCACAGATAAACTATAAATAGAAGCAGTGCTTCAAAGGGTAGGTACACCCAGGCATGGTGCCACACACCCAGCACTCAGGCGGCTGCAGCAGGAGGATCTTAAGTTCCAGGCCAGCCTGGCCTGTGTAATGAGACCCTATCACCTGGGGAAAAAAAAAAATAGGTACGATGTGACTATGTACAGTCAAACTATCCATATCTGACCTACTTACAGTATTTGTGCCATGTTTTAGTTGTTAACTTGCTAAGAAATAGTTGCTAATTTGGTGAACAAAAATATTACCCTACTGTTTATGTTTCTTTTATGAAGATTAAATGACTAATACATTTGGTGCTATCTGGTTTTCTTCTATGAACTATGGATTTTTTTTTCTCATTTGTAAAAAGTGATACATTTAGAGTACTGGACAACTGTCATATATATTTGAAATTTACTTTATCTTTTATAGTTGCTATTTTTTCTTTTCATAGTTTGCTATAGCTTCTTTTCTCCCTATAGTTTTGTGTGTGTGTGTGTGTGTGTGTGTGTGTTTTGTTTTGTTTTGTTTTTGTTGTACTGGGGTTTGAATTCAGGGTCTTGGACTTGCTAAGCAAGCACTCTACCATGCCTTCAGATCTTTTTTACTTTAGGTCTTGCTTTTTTTTGCCTGAGGCCAGCTTCAGATCTTGAAGCTACATGCCTCTCATGTAGCTGGGATCACAGACATGAACCACCACACTCAGCTTGTTGAGATGGGTGTGTGTGTGGGGGGGGAGGGTTTCTCCCTAACTTTTTGCCTGGGTTGGCCTTGAACCACAATTCTCCCAATCTCCACCTCCAGCATACCTAGGATTACAGATATGAGCCAGTGTGCCCAGTTCCTAGTTTTTATAAATATATAATCAAATCAGTCTTTTTCTTTATGATTTCTTTCTTAAGTACAATGTTTGAAATGGGAATCATTCCAGTGTTAAATTAGTGTTTTGTGTATTTTTTCTACTGCAGCTACAGTGTAATGTTTTATACTTAAATCTCTATTTTCATCTGAAAGTTTTTGGTACTCAGTGAAGTATCTTCTTTTCTTTTTTCTCCTCTTTCTTTTTTTGAAATGCTAGGGATTGAACTAAGGACCTCAAGCATGCTAGGCAAGTGCTCTACCACTGAAATACACCCATAGTCTAGTAGCAATCCAGTTTTCCAGGTACGTCCTAAGAAATAACGGGTGAAAAAACAGTAATGAGGATAGTAATACTTTACCAAGTCTCCTGTTTTTGTGTATTTTTGACTATATAATAAACTTACAGTGTGTCTCATTATTTCACAATTAATTTTAAAATGAGACCTTCTAAATAAAAAGCCAAGGAGCATTATAATATATAAATAATTTTGCTTATAAATGCCAATTTTTTCTCATTAATAGGATAAAAAACATTTTAACAAGTATCAGATGATTAATTCTCTCTGTTATATAGCATTTAAATTTTTAAGTAGAATACACGAAGTAGAATTTAGATTCTATTGAGACACAAGCTGTAACAGACAACAACATAAAGCCTGGCATATTTTCAAATTTGATTCAGCCCTAAAATGAGATCTGAAATTTGATATTAAACATTTTTGTAGACTAAAAATATTATTTAAAAAATTGTGTGAACGTGCAACCACAGGGATTCAGTTTCTAGGCAAGTATCTGTAAATGTCATATGACAAACTTACTCAATTAAATAACTTGCAAATACTATGACATAATAATACTATAAAATAAGGTATGCGATTTCCAAAGAGCCATTACTTTATTTTATTTTTGTGGCACTGTTGTCTGAACTCAAGGCCTTGTGCTTGCTAGGCAGGTGCTCTACCACTTGAGCCATCCCCCTAACTCCACAGAACCATTATTTTAACACTCACTTCCTTATCACAGTTCTGTACACATCAATAGCCAGCAAGTTATTTTCATGTTGATTTTAATATGACTTTGTCTGTCTACAACTCTAATCTCTTGATTCAAATAAACTAAAATGTGGCTATTTCACATACACACACACACACACACCTTATTATATACTTTTAAAATAAATTATCAATCTAAACTTCAAAAATATCTTTATATATGTGAAATATGAATACCTAAAAATGTGGTCTTTTTAATGCATCAATTTTTCGTTTATATTATATAATTTCACTATCTTCTTTAAAGTTTACTTCTACATTTTCATTCCATGGTTAAAAATAATTGTTAGGGGCTTGTGTGGTGGTGCATGTCTGTAATCCCAGCAGGAGACACAGGTAGGAAAATCATAGTCTGAGGCTGGCCCAGGTCAAAAGAATGAAAGACCCTATCCAAAAAAAAAAAAAGGCTGGAGGAGAGGCTCAGGTGATTAGAACATCTGCCTAGCAAGTACAAGACCTTGAGTTCAAACACCCATACTGAAAAAAAAAAAAAAAACAAAGGAAAATTATCAATTACCAAAAACATTTCTTTAGAAATCAGAAATTAAAGGAACCAAAGCTGAATGATAAAAAATACACAAACTTGATGTGTATTTAAAGTACAAAATGCTAGATATTACTGGATGATTTAAAATCATATAAATACTATCATACATCTATGTATCCTTGATACCAGTAAATCTTCTAATTCATATCTTTCTTAGATTAGTGAGCATATGAATAATTCTATACTACAAGAAAAATCATGTCAAGTTTAAACAGCAAAATATGTAAAATATCAACATTAATAAAATGAGTCTTTACTTTTTAAAAGAAAAGCTGAAAAACTATTAATCAAAAGTCTTGAATAATTTCTCATAAGTTGGCTAGTATGGATGAAAATACAATGAAACAAAGGCTTTTAGATTAGCAAAGCACTTTACTTTCACCTTGGCAATGTTGTGAAGAGAGGATGAACGTGGAGAAATTGAGTACCCGATACTTGTATTGTTGATTCAACATTTAGGATCAGTCAAAAAATATATATGACAAGCTAAGTAAAACTCTTAAAACAATAAATGATCTGCTGAGTTAAGTGAAATAAATTAAAAGTGCCATAGAAAGAACACTTATTAATAAAGAACATTAAAAATTCTAGTAACTGTTAGTTCTGACTTACAAAATGGACCTATCTACTGGCCCACAGTAAAGGTCATTTACTTTTTCCAAGTTTTTTTTTTCCTTGACTAAAATCTATGTGCAAGATTAAGAAAGCACCGAAAAACACAAAGGAAAAAACATTACTCACAATGCAATTACTGTCAACCTGTCAGTATATTTGCTTCCAACTTTTTTGTATGCATTGGAAATATAACTAAGATTTTCCTGAAATGTATAATTTTTTTTCAAGTTTCTGAAACCTTTTGTGATCCTACCACTTATTAGATGAATGCTATTCTATACAGTGAATATGACAAATTATTTATTTAGCTATTAATTTTAAATCAATATCTAATTAAAATAATCAATGATAATTAATTTTAGTGATATTAGATATTAAACATTTTCATGGCTTTTAATTTTTCTTAATTTTACACACAAACAGTGTCATAGAGAAGAAACATTTTTGGTATTTCAGAGTATTTCTGGTTATTTTGGAGATAGGGTCTCACTTTCTGCCCAAGCTGGTCTGGACTGTGATCCTTCTATTTTACACTTCCTGCTGTAGATGGGATGACTGGTACACACCACCAGGCCCAGCCTTTTCCCATTGAAATGGGGTGTCATGTATTTTTTTTTTGCCCAGGCTGTCCTGGAACACAGTCCTCCAGATCTCAGCCTCCCAAGTAGCTAGGATTACAGGCATGAGCCACCAGAGCCCAGCGTCCCCCCTTCCCCCTCAAAAAAAATCAAGATCATTTTTAAATTCAAAAGTTTAAAGCTTATCTGAAAAATTTCAATTTATTAAGAATTAATAATTGTCAACACTAAATTAGTACAATAATTTTATTTTATTCTAAACTTCCTTCATTCACCCTCCCTTATAATACAATAAAAAACAGATTCTTCTTCAATAAAAAAGGATTGAGCAGGACATGGTGGTGCAATCCCAGTTAATCAGCAGACCCAGAAGAAGGATCACAAGTTGAGTGCCAGCCTGGGCTATATAGTGAGACACTGTCTCAAAAAAAAAAAAAAAAAAAGGATTAAGATTAACAAATAAGTAAAGCACCAAAACTTTGCCTTGTGTGAGTACAAATCCTCCATTTTTCTTAATACACTGAAGCAGATGAGAAAATCAAGAAAAAAGAAGTCTTACCTTTAGTGTGACATCACAGAGTTCTCCATTTTCATAGAATCGAAGAAGAGAATTATGGAAATCTTTCCAAGCTTCATTTGCTTCAAAGGTAAAGGAATCTTCTCCATCACAATCACTGACTGACGATCTGTTCTTTATATGCTGCTGATGTTGCCTTTTCCCCTTAGTTAAATGATTCCTAGATTGCTTCCCATTTATAGATTCTGAAGCCATTTGCAACAGTATTCTTTTAATAAAGCTCTCTTCTCAAACATCCCATTTATTCTTTTTTAAAGAGAAGACAAAAGGTAGATGCAATCACGGAACTTCATTTTTCAAAATTCCCTCAATTGCCATTGTATAGTTTGCTGAGACTGAGAGAATTCAACAAAACACACGTAAAGACAAACAAAAAAATCTATCATAGTAACCATAATTTAATACAATGTATGTAAAATAACCTTATAAAGCATTATTGAAAAAACTCAGTAGTTTTTATGACAAGTCACATAGATTTTATGCTAAATGTCTTCACCTATTTTATATCAGTAAAGAATTCCCTTAAAATTTCAAATTAGAACAATAATCCAGCTGGGCGCTGGTGGCTCACACCTGTAATCCTAGCTACTTCAGAGGCAGAGATCAGGAGGATCGTGGTTCAAAGCCAGCCTAAGCAAATAGCTCATGAGACCCTATCTCGAAAATAGCCATCACAAAAAAAGGGCTGGTGGAGTGGCCCAAGATGTAGGCCTTGAGTTCAAACCCAGTATTGCCAGGGAAAAAAGAAAAATAATCTGAAAAGCACAAAACTTTTGAGATATGTGATGCACTGTCTTCAAAATAGAGTCCACAGAGGAGGGAAGATGGTGGCTGAGAGATATCAACCAGCATCTCTCCTCAGGGACACACCTTACTAAACAGCTATTCTCACAACAAACCCCCTTGAAGAACGACTAACAAAGTCAATGCTCCTGGCACAGACTTCAAGAGAGCTAGTGAAGCTGCAAGCTGCAGAGATCTCTTTTCTGCCAGGCTAGCCTGCAACAGAAGCTGAAGAAACCACAGCAACTGCTCACAGAGACCCAAGTGAGACAAAAGATAGAGTCCTAAGGAGCAACACAGTTCCTCCACCAGTCGTAGCTCCATCCAGAAATTCTCCCAATCATTGGACCCAAGTGGTATGTATGACCAAGGGAGAATGCCAGCAAATTCAGAGCACAACACTGCAGCATCTGACCAGGATGCCTGTGTAGAGAACAGGCCACATGTTAGGTGGGGAGTGATTAAGAACTGTAGGGTTGAGAGAAGTCCCTATAATAGCAGTTCAAATCTTCCTTCCTGCTTAGAGGACCAGCCCTGGGCTCAGAGCAGTCATGAAACTGCTGAGCTGACTCTAAGCCAGGCTCCCCTAACTTGGTAGAACCAGTTAAGACTATACCCTCCCCTTCCCTGCCCTATCCTGCCTGCCCCTGAGAGCAGGGAAGACAATGAAGACTGTTTTGGAGTTTTCTCTCTCTCTCTCTCTCTGTGTGTGTGTGTGTGTGTGTGTGTGTGTGTGTGTGTGTGTGTGTGTGTGTGTGTGTATCTTTTTGATTATTTTGTATGCTTGTTTTAGGTACTTTTGTTCTCTTTCTTGCTTTCTTTTTTAGCTCTGTTATTTCTTTGGGTTTTTTGTTTGTTTTTTTACTGTCTTGAGTCACAACACTAACTTTCAATATTCAGTCTTTACTATATTTTCCTCCCTCTCTCTCCTTGCACCCTCCCCCATTTCTATTTTCTTTCCATCTACAATTAGAATAGTACTTTTTTTTTTCTTTTCTGATGAGACTGGGTTTTTGAACCCCAGGGTTTTATACATGCAAGGCAGGCTAAGTCACACCTCCAGTTCATTTTGCTCTGTGTATTTTTTTTTTTTTTTTGGTGACACTGGGGCTTGAACTCAGGCCCTCATGCTTGCTAAGCAGGTGGTCTACCACTTAGGCCACTCTGCCTATTTTGGAGATAAAGAGGCCTGGGCTGGTCTCAAACTACAATCCTCCCGATCTCATCCTCCCAAGTAGCTAAGATCACAGGCATGAGCCACCATCTAGCAGAATAGTACTCTTGTATATTTTTTCTCTAATTCTATTCTCCTACTCACAGTTCTTTGTTGCCTACAGCTTTAGCTGGTAGTTAAGACTGCTAGCTTGGTTTTGTTTTGTTTGTTTATTTTTCTACATTTTTCTTTCTCCTTTCTTTTTACTAATACACCTTTAGCTAGACTTCTTCCTCCTATCTCATTTCACTTTTTCATTACCCCCTTCCATGAACCATAGTCACTACTCTCCCCAGTCTTTCAACACCATGTACCTTTTATTATTCTCTAGCATTGTCTCCCCCATCTCTTTCCCATTACCATTACTTAGAATTAACTAAGGTCATTCTAATCCACAAAGATTTGTCTTCACTCCTTTACTCCTCTTAAGATACTGGATAAGGGTAGGTGATTGGTCTTTGTTAGGGATTGCTGTACTCACATGGTGGGTGTCTGTCAACTTTGATTGTTTCTGCAACTAAGCTTCCTCTCCCTAAGTAGAATAGGAGGCTGGATTCAGTATCTTGAACACTATAGGTGAATGTTTGACAACTTAACCACACTCCCCAGCCCACTGACAACAAATACAGCAACAACCTAGCTACCACTCAGTCTTAATTAAATATTGTAAAACTCCAGCTGAAAGGACACAGGAGATAAAAACCTCAACCAAAACCTGGGCCACAGATGTGTAAATCCCAACATAGAAACACAAATAATATGAAAAAACAAGGCCACATGTTTCTTGCAAGGGTGAATTGTTCCACAACAAAGGACTTGAATGATACTGAAGCAGATACAATTTCAAACAATGAACTCAAAATAAGAACAATCAATGAAATTTAGGACATATACATATAAGCACCTGAGTGAGTTCAAAGAGGATATAAAATATAGCTAAATGAAACAGGAAGACAATGTAGGACAAGAAGGGGAAATCCAATAAACATATGGAAATTCTGGAAAAAAAATCAAAATGAAAATCCTGGAAATGAAAACCTCAATAACTCAAATAAAAAACTTAGTTGAAAACCTTAGTAATAAAATGGAACAAGTTGAAAATATAGTATTAGGAATTAAAAGATAAGTCAAGGAATTAGATTTAAGACAGAAAAACTACTAAGAAAATACAAACAGAACATGCTAGACCTCTGAGACACCTCAAAAATCAAACCTATGAATCATGAATATAGAAAAAGGAAGAAGAGATACAAAATGAAGGCATAGAAAACATTCAATGAATGATAGCAGAAAACTTCCTCAATCTTGAGAAGGGGTGGGTCATCTAGGTACACAAAGCTTTCAGAACATCAAACAGAAAAGAAATACTCCTAAACATATTATAGTTCACCCTAAATATACACAACAAAGAAAGAAGACTGACAGCTGAAAGAGAAATAACAAGTCACATTTAAAGGCAAACTGATCAGAATAATAGCAGATTTCGACAGAAATCCTAAAAGCAAGGAGGGAATATAATAATATATTCTAAGTTCTGAAAAAAAGTAACTGTCAACCTAGATTAGTGTAGCTAGCAAGGTTAACTTAATAACTGAAAAAAAATGAAAACCTTCCATGACAAATACAAGCAAAAGGAATTCATGACTACTGAACCAGCACTGCAGAAGATACTCAAAGGAATTCTACATGCAGAAAAGGAAAAAAAAAAACCCACAACCTGGAAATACAGGCAAGATAAACCCGACCAGATGAGTAGATTAGCAAATAAGGATTAGGAAAGAAGCAAACATCACAAAACAAAGTGACAGGAAATACTACATATCTTTTAATATTAATACTAAATATTAATGGTCTCAATTCTCCAATCAAAAGATTTAGAATAACAGGTTGGATTAAAAAATGTCCATTTGTTGCCTATGAGAAATGCATCTCATAGACAAAGACAAACATTGGCTTAGAGTGAAAGGATGGAAAACAATTTTCCAAGCAAATGGACACCCAAAGCAGGCAGGAGTAGCTATAGTCATATATGATAAAACAGACTTCAAACAAAAATTAGTCAGAAGAGACAAAGGTCATTTCATAATAATAAATGGAACAATTCATTCAGAGGAGATAAAAATTGTTATTATATATATGTACCAAATGTTAGCACAACCAATTTCATTAAACAAACACTAGTGTACTTACAAACAGACAGACCCTCAACACAATAACAGTGGAAAGCTTCAATACCACTCTCGGTGATAAGATAGGTTATCCATACCAAAAAAAAAAAAAAAATCAACAAAGAAACTTCAGAATTAAGTAACACTATAGACCAAAAGGACTTAACAGACATTTACAGACTGTTTCCTCTAGCAGCTGCACAAAATACATTCTTCTTAACATGCCATGGAAGTTTCTCCAAAATAGGTCATATTTTAGGACATAATATAAATCTTAACAAATATAAGAAAAATGAAATAGCCACCTATATTCTATCAGACCACAAAGGAATAAAACTAGAAATCAAAAGAAAAAGAGAAACTACAGGAAATACACAGACACATGGAGACTGAACCAATACATTGTTGGAATGATCAGTAGTCATTGAAGACATGAGGGGGAAAATTTTTTTAAATCCTAGAATCTATTGAAAATGAAAGCATGAAAGACTTCTTCAATGAAAACTATAAAACCTTAAAGAAAGAAATTTAAGAATCCAGAAGATGAAAAGACCTCTCATGTACATGGATTGGCAGAATTATTATAAAAATGACTATTTTACAGAAAGCAGCCTACAGATTCAATGCAATTCCTATCAAAATCCAATGTCATTCTTACAGCAATGGAAAAATCAATGCTAAAATTCATATGGAAACATAAAAGGCTCCAAATAGCAAAAATAATCCTGAGCAAAAAGAGCATTGCTGGATGTATCACAATACTGGACTTCAATGGAGAAAAGACAGCCTCTTCAACAAATGGTGCTGGGAAAACTGATTACCTACATGTAGAAGACTGAACTACATCCCTATATTTTACCCAATTCAAAATTGATCAAACATCTTACATTAGTAAGATCTGAAACTTTGAAACTACTATGGGAAAATACCGGAATATAGGCATAGGCAATTATTTTCTGAATAGGACTCAAATTGCACACAAAATAGGAGCAAGAATTGACATATGGGATTGTGTAAAATTAAAAAACATCTGCACATCACAGGAAACAATTACCAGAATGAAGTGACAACCCACAGAATGAGAGAAATTTCAACTATCTATTCAATGGACAAAGGATTAATATTCAGGATATATAAATATCTCAAAAAAACTAAACAAAAGAACAAATAA